ATATATATATAATGTCAGACAAACTCTCAGCCCTCAAAGAACTTAGCTGGAGAAACAACTCACATATGACACATTAAAATACCACTATCTAATAAAGTAACTTAAGAAACCAAGGAAGTATTCATGTGTGGGTAGAGAAGCCATTTGATTGAGAGTGGTTTAGAGGCTCAGCAAGTTGATATTCGGAAGATCATGGGAGATGAAAGAACTAGGAGAGTTAACAGTGATGCTGATTGTTTAAGCCTAGCTTTGTAAATTGGTCAGTTAACTCTTACTAGTTAAAGCACTGCAAACATTTTATTTTATTTTTTAATATTTATTGTTTAGTTATCAGCGGACACAACATCTTTGTTTGTATGTGGTGCTGAGGATCGAACCCAGGCCACAGGCATGCCAGGCGAGTGCGCTACCACTTGAGCCACATCCCCAGCCCCTGCAAACATTTTAAAAATACATCTTACATATGCTGCAATTTGACAATAACTATTAAAATTAAAAATTGTTGATGATCATAGCCTTCAATTCAGCAATGCTGTTACTTTATTCTACAGGAATACTTTCACAAATGTTGGAAGAAAAATAAACAAGAATGTATATTATACCAAAGTTCATATTGGAGAAAAATAGCTAAAACAGCCACTTGTCAGGATCTGGTTAAACTCATCATGTTCAATCAACATAATGGTATACCATAAAGGTATTTTTAAATTGAAGTAAATGGATAATATTTGCCTGAAAATTGTCCAATATATATTGTTAGGTTAAAAATAAAAGCAAGCAGTAAAATGGTATGAAAAAACTGATCCTATTTTATAAAAAGCATATTCATGTACACAGAAGTAAAGATTCTAAATGAATATACATATACATACCAGACTGTTAAAGGTAGTAATCTTTTGGGAGGGGAATTACAAGGACCTTTTCTGTATTGTTTGAAATTTGAAAAGTAGGCATTCATTTTGTGAGAAAGATAATATTTATTATTTCAATCTTCTCTACTTTGGATGAGCAAGATGGGATAAGGGACTTTTTTTCCACATTACTTTGTTCATACGTGTGTTACTGATCTGAATCTAATAAAAGTTGTCAAAATTCTATTGAGGAATGATGAAGGGACAACTCACCATTAAAACTCCAAAGTGGGTGAGGTGGTCACACTGACAGATTGTGTAATTTACATTCGTTTCCTTTACTTTACAGCCTGATGAGTTCCATCCGCCTAGTCCATCTGCAGGAGACAGAAGGGAATTTCAAAGCAGTTTTGGTTTTTCTGAGAAATGTTTAACATTTCATTGTATCTACCATCCAAACGTGTGTTATAATTAGTATTGTTTGTTAAGACTGCAAGATAGAGGTATAATTGAATACCAAAATTAAATTAAATCTAAAAGACCAAATTGACTTTTTAAAAAATATTTTTTAGTGTTGATGTACATTTATTCATTTATTTATTTATTTATTTATTTATTTATTTATTTATATGTGGTGCTGAGGATCAAGCCCAGTGCCTCACACATGCTAGGCAAGTGCTCTGCCACTAAGCCACCACCCCAGTCCCCCAAATTGACTTTTAAGGGATTTTGTGCATGGCATAACTTCATTGTCTCTCACATTTCCTCTTCTTGTACCATACCTCTACAGATTAGGACAGACTCTAATAATCATGAACAATAGTTTTGCTACCATGTTGGAGCGATTATTTTTTTTTAAATAGCCAATAAAGAGGAAATAGGCAGATCTACAACTTTTTGAAGGATGTGGACCTGTGGAATATACACTGACACTTGGTGGGACTGGAATAGACATCCTAAACAACCAGGTAAACCCAAAATTCAAGTGGTCTTAAGTGCTTTGAGCCCAAGTCTAGAGATTTTTAGAGCCAACTAGAGCCTCTGTTCTACTGAACATCTACCTGGTTTCTTCTCAGAATTCTCAGGGTTCTGAAACCAGCTGTCATTTGACATAACCTGCCAATATTGGGTCACACAGAAGATTTAAAGTAGAGCCTCCAGGTGGCATTAGACCAGTAAGGCAACTATAAACTACAGCATATAGTATAGTTTGAATTTGTCCATCCATGATAACTCCATAGATTTCAAAAGTTCTGGATCCATTAAGCAGAGAGAAAAGGGCAAAGGATATCCTGGGAGTAATCTAACCATTTGGCATTAGTAAATACAGAGATCAACTTATTGAAGCTATGGGGAATAAAGCTCATCTTTACAGTATTTTCTTCCTGAAAGACATGGAGGAGACCAGGAAAGGGAAGTATTAATTCTGTTTGTCAGAAATAGGTAGTATTCCTGCACACCAGAAAATTAAGAGGGAAGAGAATTTTCCTTTTCTCCCAGAATCCTAAGGATACCGAAAAAGGAAAAATTCCCAGGTAGTTCTTCCTCTCATAGTCAGCTCTGGCATTTCAGGGGAAATTGATTTTGTGTGGAATTCTCTAAGATTTGGTGTTATCTTTAGAAATTCCAGTGAAGATGGCAAGCCTAAGAGAAATCCATTCGGCAATAACAATCCTCATCATCTCTTACTGGTGTCAAAGACTCATTCAAGCAGGAAGGGCCCTTTAGGGACAAACCAAAAAGTCTCATTTCCTCAATGAAAAGATGGAAAAGATTGAGACTTTAACAGGTTAAATGGCTTTCCCAAGGTCACACAGTCAGTTTGGAAGAGTTAAGGAGGAAAAAAAGGAAGGAGACAGTATCCATTGAAAATCCCTGTGGGAATGTACAAGTTAAGACCCAGGTGACCATTCCTCAACTTTCTTTAAACAGCATTAAGCTACTCTGCATTGGACCTTCAAAATTTCTTTCTTCCAAATTTGCTTACCCCTGTATGCTTTTTCAACTGTCTAATCTAAAAGGATTTTTCTCTTAATTTCCATACCCTAATTTGATATAAAAATCACATCCTGTATCTTGGTTATTCAGAGTGCTCTGTAGAGCCTGATAAGACAGTAGCTTCAGCACAATACCCCCTTCAACTGCCAAATATGAAAATGATCTGGGGAAAAGCTTGCTTACAAAAATACTTACTGTTAGTCTCAAAATCCCAAAAGGCACAGTGAACCTGATCATAATTCTGGAAAAAAGAAATCAGAGGTAAACATTTTTCCTCATGAGAGTTATCACACAGTAATGAGCACACACAAGAGTTTAGAAGACAGTAGATACACATGTTTGCATACACACACACACAGGGCCCATTTGTGAACTGGTTTTAAGACTAACACCATCTAACTCTGGATTCATAAATGAGAAAACACCAGGTCACCACATGGTGATCTCGTGTGTGTCCTTGAAAATAGTTGGTAGCATTGGAATTTTCTATGATGTCCTGGTGCAAGGCCCAGGAGGAAGCTGTGGCTAGTAAGTGCAGGATTGATATGTACTGGGTATTGTTTTGGGAGGATTGAACTCATGGGCACTCAACCACTGAGCCACATCCCCAGTTCTATTTTGGATTTTATATAGAGACAGGGTCTCACTGAGTTGCTTAGTACCTCCCCATTGCTGAGGCTGGCTTTGAACTCCAATCCTCCTGCCTCAGCCTCCCCAGCCACTGGGATTACAGGCATGTGCCACCATGCCCAGCTAGTACTGGTGTTCTTTATAGCTGTGGGACTCAGGGCTCACAGTTGAGGTCATTCATGCCTTATGGACACAAGGTTGAGTTGCCTCCTCATTAGACCTACTGAACATTCCTAGGCCTTGCCAGCACCCACAATCTCTGTGAAACTGGAGGGAAGGAATAATTAATTGCTGGGGACAATTTGAGAGTTGTAGCTCGAGTCCAAATTGAGAGATCTTACCCCATTAACATATTTCTTTTGGTATGTTTTTTTTAATTCTCTCTCCTACTCTTTCTTCTCCTCTTCTATAATCAAGACTAGTTAAAAATATGTTGTACCATATGGTCTTGTAGATTGGCAATGAAGGAGGCTATTAAGACTTCACACTGGACACACATTAACATCAAAGAATGAAATAGTAATTCATTCTTATTCTAAGGCTAAATTTGATCATTTAGTAATATATGCCTTATGTTATGCCATATGACTATGGTTTTAGTCCTTTGGTGACAATTAATACACATTTTAATGCTCTTCATGGAAATTTGAAGAATACAAATGTTCAGTTATTTTGAATGAAGCTGTTTGCCTCACTTAAAAATAAATGAAGTTAAATGTTATTTAGTGTGATGGGATGACCATTACATCCACTTATCTATAGTCACTGCCTTGCCAATCTGTCACAGTGATAGAATGCCCACCATTCACTATCTCTTTGGGATAAGGTGTTACTTCTTGAAGTCCCCAATTACAATACACCTCTGATACCTGGAATGGGATAATCTTCACTAAATCTTCGAATCACATCTGTTAATTAGAAAATTAGGGGCTGGGGTTGTAGCTCAGCTGTGGAGTGCTTGCCTAGCACGTGCAAGGCACTGGGTTTGATCCTCAGCACCACATAAAATAAATTAAATAAAGGCTTTGTGTCCATCTACAAATTAAAAAAATTTTTAAAAGAAAATTATTTTTAACAGGAAAATCAAGGAAGAGTTCTGAGGCCATGTGATTCTGAGATAAAAATGGGCATTACCCAGTTTCCTTCAATATGCTGCAGAGTGATGAGCACTGGATCAGCCAAGTTTTGAATGGACATATCTGAAATGCTAGCACTCATAACATATGTGGTTAATTTTTTCATGACATTTTTTATCTGTAGATGAAACATAAAGAAGAGAAGTTTAAGTCCTGAATTTCTAAGGTTTTACATGTTCATTATCAATCTATAACTTGTGAACTACTACTTGCAGTATTAGGTGCAGAAAACGTGGAAAATAAAATTACAAGCTGAGAGTGAATTTTTAGAGATCATTCAGCTCATCTCCTGACTTCACATAAGGTGATCATTATACCAAGATGGAACAATACATTAATTCATCTATCTATCCAAATACCTATCCAACCAGTTTTGGTTTTGTACCTGCTACTTAACACTGCACTAACAAAATAAAGCTATTCTCAACTTGGAGAGCTCTCCAGATCCTTACATTTCATAACTCATCCAGTTCTAAATCTCAACCATCTTTATAAGAGCACATCCTTATAAGGAATCTAAATACCTCATGAGTTAGTTATATACCACATCCTGTACTATCCTCACTGGAGATGGAAATAGGTTGATCAACAGCCAGCTTGGAATGAGTCTCTGAGGATAGTGTTCTTCTCCCTTGAGGACCATGAGCTCTGAGACCATAGTCCAGGTTTTGTGGGTCCCCGTGTTCCCTGCATGGTAGGTACTTTATCTTGGGCTAACCATGAGTCAGATACTTTGCTGAGTGCTTTCTACACTATCTACTATCTTTGGTCTTCGTGGACATCATATAGACAGACATTTTTTTCAAATAAATTGAGGCTTAGACAAGCTCAATGCCTATATGTACAAAGGTCACACAAACTTGTGAATGATAGGACAGAGATAATGTTTTTTTTTAAAGACAATTAACTAGAATGTACCTATTGAGATATAGGGCTTTCTAATTAACAAGGCCAAACTTCCAAAGGCTAAGGCTCCAGCTGAAAGTATACCTCTTCTGGAGCACATGTGAATGGACCAGTTATAGGGCCAGTTCTTATCTCTGGATAGTAGAAGCAGCAAATCTTCTAAGGACTTGCCAAGAAAGCCTGGAGGAGGTGATCCCCACAGACATCCCATGAAAAACCTGCTAGGCCATTTCTAAAAGATGCCATGCCTTCATAATTTTGAAGAAATAATGTTCAGCCCCCTCTCCCTACCCAACCTGAGCCCTGCAGCTTCTGATATCTGGGTAATTGTAAATGCAGTGTATGTCCACCAGGAACCTACTAACTTCCTGCTTATGACCTGAGGTATTCATCCGAACCAATCTTATGGCTAAGTATTCTGTTTTCAGTAGAAACACCTGGGACAGCCTGATGTAGAGGTGTATTAGCAGCACGATGTGGTTAGAAAGGACCTGACTGACACTGGCAAGACCAAAAGCTAGCCCAAGCCCTCTTGTTCCTCTAAAGGCACTCTTCCTTCTGGGCCACTGGTCACATGAAGAAGGAGGATAGACCAGATGATCTCAAATCATCCTCCCAACTTGGTCTAAGAGATACAATTTTCTGTGGTGGAAAGGCCAAAGAGACACCCATTACAGCCCCAAACTTAATTAACCTGTTCTCTATCTTCATTTATTTTAACTATAAAATGGTGGCCATGCTGGGGGAAGAAACAATCCATTCCCTCTGACTGAAGCACTTCTCCTTCCTTTTTTCATCCTCCCTCTTCACCATCTTTCATCTTCTACCTTCTATTGTAGTCTCAGGTGTGGGCTGAGAGCTCTCTTACACCAGGCCATTCCTGCTCTTCCGAATGACAGTAGAGACCCTCTTCTACAGCCCTAGAGTCCCTATGCCACATTGCACTTGCTTGTGCCTTTTCCTCTCTCTGAGAACTGCAGCTAGTAGAGGAGTGGAGGAGGAAGTACATGATGTTCAGGAGTGGTGTCTTTTCAACAATTTCTAAGGTAATGTGTTGTAATGACAGTTAAGATTCTGATCAAAAGATTTTACAGGAAGCAGTGTAAAAACAAGGCTGTCAGATTCAGGGACTCAAAGAAAAGATAGGTAAAAGGTGACATTTCTTGTAAGCTCTCAGTATCCAACAACCATTAGCACAGATCTCAGCCTCAGGTCCCCCCTTCAGTGCTGGAAACTTCAGATCTCTGCTCTCCTTCATCATACTGGAAGTTCTTTGAGGGCAACCATCACATCTCTCTTGCTCAGTTTATATACCCAGCATGTAGCACCACTTAAGACACAGAGTAGGAATTCAATAAATATTTGCTGAATGAATAAATGAGTGAATTAGTAAACTGAGTCACCTTTAGCAAGTGTCTCTTGCTAAAGACTCTCTGGGTCTCCATGTCCTCATTGGTACAATAAGGGGATGGGACACTACATGAGTTCTGGGGGCCCTTCCAGCCCTGAATTTGATGGCAAGCTAGTTCTAATCCTTCTTCATCTGGCACTATGACGTCTGCCGGCTAATTTTGGCAAAGATCTTTAATCCATTTCGGTAGAAGGCGTTAGTGAATAAAAATTTCTTATTAAGTGTGAAATCTATGCAAAGCAAGTTTATCTCCTATTCTAATAGACAAGCACAGCCTTCTGAAGAAATGAGAAATTAAGACCAAAATAATAGCATCTCAGATGGTACAGAGAATTGACAGGTTTATCAAAAGGATCAGACCACATTTCAAACTTTTATTAAAAATTTTTGTCCACCAAAAGTTTTTCTCCAGGGGGCAGAGGAAAGAGCAGGGAGGGGCTCACTACTCTAGGCAGATGTCTTGGGTAAGATTTGAGCTAATCCCACAGAACCAAGGAGAATATAGAGTGAAGGAAGAGTGGCTGCAGAATTTCAGGGGAACAAAAGGTTTTACAGACTTAGAGGTGATGTGGTAAATTGGAGTTGGTAAGTAGTATGAATATGCGGTATATTTTGAATTGGCCCAGTACCATCTCTCCCCATCATCCCCACAATAACTCTGTGAATATTTGACCATTAGAAATTAATTCCTTTGAGTAACCTCCTTAGAAATACAAGCACACTTGGGCAAACTAATGTATTAGCCTCTTAAATACATGAACGTTGGAATCAGACAGCCTGAGATTGATTCTTAGATATGCCACTTCCTAGCTGTGTGATCCCGGGCAAAATTAATTAACTTATTTGAGTCTCAGCTTCTTATGAGAATAAAATGAGATAATAAGTATAAGTATTAACAATTAATACTAGTCATTGTCTTCAACAACATGCAAACTCTGATGGCTGTCTTCCCAACAGCTAGATGAGATAAAAGTGGCCTGAAGAAATGAGCCATTTGTTAGGCACAGACCCAAGGTAGTATAATAATAATAGCAATGCAACCACAGTGATGATTATTATGTACTGGGCAATGTTGTAAGCATTTTATACTCATTAACTCCTTTAGTCATTCAACAGCTCTCAAATTATTATTATTATTGCCCATAGGAGGAAACTAAGGCACATGGAGTCACACAAGCAGATATGGCATAGCTAGCTTCAAGTTCTACCAGCCTGGCACCTGAGTCTATGCTCTTCACCACCACATCATACTGCCTGTGTTTTTAGTAGGTGAGAGCTGAAGCCCTCAGAGAAGGTTCTCTGGAGGTGGATAGAAAGATCAACAAATGTCTGTAGGCAAATATCCTGCTGGACACCACCCAGTTTCAAATAAATTGGCCCCGAAGAGTAGGCATGTTGGCTTTGAGAAGCCAGGAAAGATTTGGGAAGAAAGCACTAGCAAGCTGAAAGGGCATTTCATCAGGAGAACGTGCTGTTCTTTTATAGCTTTGAAACATCTTGAGGCCTCTGTTTGGTCACCAAATAATCCTTAAGGTCGCTTCCAAAGCTGAGAAGCTGTGAAAATTAAAAACTGTAGAACATCATTAAAGTAGATGTTGATTCATGTTGCGAGCCAGAGGTTGTGCTGCAAGACTTGTGGAATCAATCAGAGAACATATTCTAAAATAAACAGAACATCATGAAAATAGCAGGAGTTCATAATTACAATGAGTCACCATATGTCATTTCATGACAGTTCCCAGAGGCAAGAACTTACCTTAAAAAGTGAAGTTTGGCCAAAAAAACTAAACAAGATGGTTTGTAAGTTGTTAAGAGGAATTTTCTCCCTCAGTGATTTAGGCAAATATATGGAAGCCAAAACCCTCTCCAGAGGGGCATTGCCCAGGTAGATCTGCCAAGAACAATCAGAGAATGAAAGCTGGAGTCTTCATCTATCAGGATGAAAGCCTCTCTACCTCCCACCGTAGCACTTGCCCCAGAGCATCCTACAGGGAGCAGAATGGTGGAACTAGCTCCATAAGCTATCACACACACACACACACACACACACACACACACACACACACAAACATCACAAGCCAAGACATGATCCTGGTGCACACAGATGTAGATACACATACACACACACACACACACACACACACAGAGAGAGAGAGAGAGAGAGAGAGAGAGAGAGAGAGAGAGAGAGCTTTTTCCTTTCCAAGCCTATCTTTGAGGTTCTCTCTCCTTAACCTACTTCCACCTGGGTAATACCAGAGGTGGGAAGAGGAATGACAAATTAGGTGATCTGTCCTGATTCTCAGAAATAAAGTCCAGTCTTGGAAATCAGGCCTCTTTTCCCACATAAGAGTTCTGAAAATGAAAACAAAACAACGACAAAAATCAGCCAATGGCTTTAGGCACTTGCCAATAGTTTGTTGAACAACACTCTCATTAAAAGTGAGGCAGAAAAAAGTCAGAGAAGCTTGTGGCTTCAGAAAAAAAGGCATAAAGGGGGCTTTATCAAAAATTACACTGGAAACACAGTTATAAACCTGTTCTCTCCCAGAGAAAAACAGGGTTCATGAGCACCCTTGTTTAAGCATGCTTGTATTATAACAAGAAACAGAGGTTCAAACAAGTTATGTGACTTGTCCAAGATCATAAAGCTAGGATGTGGCTGAACAAAGATATATATGATTTTAGTTTAACATTTTTTTCTATTATCTATGCTCCCTCTCAAGAAGCTATTACCTAGTTGGTGTATAATGGGAGTATGAAACTTTACAATATTTCTAAAAATGACTTAAGAAATCAAAAGCTATAAATGGCTCTTTCTTCCCTAACACAAATGATCTCTGCTCAGGCAATCAAGTATCACAGAAAGGTAATGTTTTAGCTTCAAAATGTACACAGTTTGGTACCAAGAGTGTGATTTAGGTTAGTTGATTTATCTACCAACTTTATAATAAAAAATTATATATGTAAATAAAATGCAATGGGAAGTCACCATCTGCTTCTAGTATGGCTAAGCAGCTCTTAACAGATTTGATGCCCACTACATATAACAACTATATAAACTAACAATGGCTTGAAGTTACTGGAAAATGAACAAAAGCAGACAAAATCTGGAGAAGAGTAGACATTTGAGAAAAGGTAACATCACAGGGTCAGTTGTCTGTTTTCACAGCTGTTTGCCTGATGGTGGACAGAAACTAATGCTATAAAGGACATCTAAAGCTCTGAATGAAAGAGGAATTAACACTATACATCAGAGGTTGACAAATTAGTCAGAAGACCACATCTTACCAAAGGTTTGCCTTTATATCACCTTGAAGTAAAAATGGACTTTATATTTCATTGTTTCAAGATTGTACAATATAGAGAGTTAAGAGAAGAGAAACAAACACTAATAAATAAGAACCCACAATAGAAAGAAACCACTTGTGGCATACAAAGCCAAAAATATTTGTTACCTGCCCTTTAGAGAATAAAATCCAACTATAAATATAGACTCCAACTATGGAACATTAATCAGCATTAAAAGAGAGTAAAATCATGATATTTGCAGGTAAATGGATGGAGTTAGAGAATATCATGCTAAGTGAAGTTAGCCAATCCCAAAAATCTAAATGCTGAATGTTTTTTTCTGATATAAAGTGACTGACCCATAATGGAGTAGGGAGGGGGAGCATGGGAGGAATAGACGAACTATAGATAGGGCAGAGGGGTGGGAAGGGAAGGAAGGGGGCAGGGGGTTGTTAATAATGGTGGAATGTGATGATCATTATTATCCAAAGTACAGGTATGAAGACACAAATTAGTGTGAATATACTTTGTATACAACCAGAGATATGAAAAATTGTGCTTTAAATGTGTAATAAGAATTGTAATGTATTCTGCTGTCATATATAAATAAATAAATAAATAAATAAATAAATAAATAAATAAATAAATAAATCAGACAAAAGATGAACACTATATCCATTAAATAGTTTGAATCAGGGGGCTGGGGATGTGGCTCAAGTGGTAGCGTGCTCGCCTGGCATGCGTGTGGCTCGGGTTCGATCCTCAGCATCACATACAAACAAAGATGTTGTGTCCACCAATAACTAAAAAATAAATATTAAAAAATTCAAAAAAAAATAGTTTTAATCAGGGCTGGGGTTATAGCTCAGTGGTAGAGCTCTCACCTAGCATGTGTGAGGTGCTGGGTTCGATCCTCAGCACCACATAAAAAATAAATAAAATAAAGGTATTGTGTCTGACTACAACTTAAAAAAAAATAAAAATAGTTTGAATTAGCTATTAATGATTTCCCATAAAGAAGTTGGGGGGTCAGGAGGAAGGGGAGATGCAATGAAAGTAAAAGGGGAAACATTAGGGTAGAGGAATGGGTTCAGTTTAGGAGGAGGTAGAGAAGATATTGGGGAGTAAAATGGATCAAACTATGCTTTCATTTAGAACAAACATGTCACAATGAAACCCACCATTCCGTATGATTAATATCACCAATGATTTTATTTTAATTTTCCTTAAGAATGAATCTCATCAATCATTTAGTGTATAAATAACACCAATGTTTCCTAAAGTACTTCTGAAAGTAGAACAGGGACCATTTCCCAACTCACTTTTATAAAGTTGGCAAGATCTGTTTGTATGTTTGTTTGTTTGGTACTGGGGATTGAACTCAGGGGTGCTTTACAACCAAGCTACATCCCCCAGAGCTTTTTATTTTTTTATTTTAAGACAGGGTCTTTCTAAATTTCTGAGTCTGGCCTCAACCTTGTGATTCTCCCACCTCCCAGGTTGCTGGGATTACACACATATGGCACTGAGCCCAGCCTAAATCCAAAGTCTGACAGAAATTATTTTAAAAAACCAGGAGTTTAAGGTCAGCCTGGGCAACATAGCAAGGCCCCAGGATAAAATAATAGTAATTTCTTCAAATAAATGACATCTTAAAAATAAAAATAGGACTAACATAATGGTAATGTTAAAATAGTGAATTTATTCATCTAATGTCAAAAAAAGACAAAGATACCCACTTTAACCACATCTATTCAATATCTTACCAGAAGTATTAAACATCAAAATAATCCCAAAAGAAAAAGGAATAAAAGAAATAAATATCAGTAAGGAAGTCATAAAACTCTCTATTTTGTCAGATAGTGTTGTTTTATTTAAAGTCCTAAGGAACCTACAAAACAATCTAGTATAACAAAAAAGTGAATCTAGCAAATTCATAGGCTACATAAATTATATATAATTATATATAATTATTTCTAGGTATTTATTCAGCAAATAATTAGTAAGTCAATTTTTAAAAGTATTTCATTTACAATAACATAAATATCATAAAATAGGAATAAATTCATCAAAGAAATCATACAATACCTCTCCACGTAAAACTATAAAATGGTGTTGAGAGAAACTTTAGTGGACCTGGGTGTTACTGGATTAGAAAACTCAATGTTGTTAAGATATAAATTCTCCCAAAATTAATCAATAGCTTCCATCCCAATCATAATCTCAGTAAAACTTTTACACAAATTGATGAACAAATGTAAACATTCATATGGACATGAAAAAGGCTGAAGTGATCTTGAAAAAGAACAAAGTTAAAGGACTCACACTATTGACTTCACGACTGAAGAGAACACCAAGACAGAATCTACAAAATATAAATGCAATAGAATAGAAAGCCAGAAACAGACCTATATTACATAACCGTTATTTTTTTAAATTATTAGTTTGAGGTTTTTGTTTGTTTTTTTGTTTTTTGTTTTGGCCAAAGTACCAAAACAAGCCAATGGGAAAGGGAAAGTTTTCAATAAATAGTGCTGGAAAAACTAGATATCCACATGGAATGAAATTATCCCCAACCCCTAACTCACACCTTGTACAAACATTCATTCAATTAACTAGGATTATCATCCTCAATATAAAAGCTGAAACCAAAGATATGTTAAGGGAAAGCATAGAAGAATATCATCATGACTTGCCAGCAGATAGGATATTTAGGTAAACAATATATGGTTATTCATAAGAGAAAAAACTATAAATGAGACCTTATGAAATTATAAACTTTGGCTCATTGAAAGACACCACTGAGAAGAAAAATAGGCAAGATACAGAGAAAATACTTTCAAAACTTATATCTGATGTGTGACCTGAGCCAGAATATACTGAAAATACTTACACCTGTACAAGAAGGTAAACAAGCCAAGTTAAAAATGGACAAAGGATTTTGACAGTATTTGACTAAAGAAGATGTATGAATGGTCATTACAAAAATAAACAATTACTCCACATCATTATCCAGTTTAAAAATCAATATGTCAGCTTGTTATAAATTTAAACATATAACCAATGAGTCAGCCATTCCATTCCTAGGTATTTATTCATGAATTATGAAAACATATGCCCATGCAAAGACTTACACAAATGCTCATAGTAGCATTGTTCACAATAGCTCCAAATTGAAAACAATGCAAGTGTTCATCAACAGAATAGACAAACAATATATGGCATATATATTAAATGGAATATTATTCCGAAATACAAAGGAAAAAACTATGGGAAAAGGGGTGAATCTCAAAAAAACATACTGCTACATGAAAGAAGTCTTACAGAAGAGAATACATATTATAATGATTCTATTTGTATAAAGTTCTAAAACAGAAATAATCTATGGTGCGAAAATATCAGAACAGTGGTGACCCTAGAGGTAGCAGTTTCAGGGATTGAACGGGGAAGAGCATAAGGGATTTTCAGAAGTGATAGTGATATCTATATCTTGATAGGGTTTGGAGTTGTACAGATTATAATGTAAACTCAGGATTTATACGTTTTGCCATAAGTATAAAAAAAGTCTGGTCACTCAATATTTTTTCAGAGGTATTGGTGGCTTATGATCTGCCAAAGGCTGAGGTAGTATGATATAGTAAAAAGGGACCAGACTATTTTTCATAACAAATATATAACAATTGTACATATTTATAGGGCACAGTCTGATATTTTGATACACAGGTGATGATAAAATCATGGTAATTAGCATATCTGTCACTTCAAACATTTATAATTTCTTTGTATTAAATATTCTGGGCCCAGATTCTAAAGCTAGACAGAAAGATTTGGATTCTGACTTAGTCATGAGGCTGTATTTCCTTAGACAAATTAACTTCTCTGTTTCCTCATCTATAAACAGTAGCACAATGCTCAACATATAATAAATGTTCCATAAATGATGGAAAATAATAAACTGACATTTGAGGTAATGTCAGGTCACAGGGCTAAAAGTAGCATCATCACACATCATCACACATCATCACACATCTCACAGACACCATTTCAATTAAGATGGTAGCCCCCTGAGGGTTACATATGAATCTTTCCTTGGATATATGCATTTTTAAAAGGTCTCCTGAAGAGTTAAACTTTAAGAGTGTCCTGCAGGGCTGGGGATATGACTGAGTGGTAGAATGCTTGCCTGGCATGCATAAAGTCCTGGGTTCCATTCCCAGAACTACAAGAAAAACAGTGCCCTCTTTTCTTTCCCTCCTAACAAGTAAATAAAGACTTGAAAGAGTGTGTGACCAATTGGTTCTCAGTTTCCAAAGCTTCACTCACCTGAGGGTCTGCACCTTCTTCATAGGAGCGGATGCCAAAGGCCATACCTTTGAAAGTATGATCCATCCGTAGCACAGCCAAAGCCAACCTGGTCACGGTAAGATTTGCTGTCCTCCCAGAAAATTCCATCTTGTGACCAGCACGCTCAATTATCCTCAGAATTCTACCAGGAAAGCGTAAAGAAGAGTCTTCTTACCTTTTTTAAATATAAAACCCATCCCCTGACAAGATTTCCTCATTGCGAGACTGTATTTTAATCCCCATCTTTATATTCCTCAGGAATTATTAGACAAGAGCACTGGTTTTGGAACAAGACAGCCTGAGATCTACACATTAGCTCCTCTAATTTCTAACTGTGTGTGCAAGTAAAGTGACCTCACTGAGCTTCAGTTTTCTCCTCTATAGAGTCAGATGTAATCACACATCTCAAAAGATCATTTTGAAAAATAAATGAAATTGTTGTTTGTAAAGCCAGATCCTTCAGGGCACATAGACCTTATGAGAAGTTTGGCTTTTATTTTATTTGGCATGTAATGAAATGGCACCCTAGTGGTTTAAAAGCAAAAGATTGACATGATATGATAAATGCATTGAAAGATCACTCTATTACATAGAAGATGGACTGTTATGGGCAAGAGTGCAGGCAGATAGATCAATTGGGAGGCTATTTTAGATGATCAAGGAAGAGAAATAAGACTAGGCCTGGAGATGGAGACATGTAGATGGATTTCCACCAGAATATTTAAGATATTTTAAAATACATATAGAGTGCCTCATGTAAGAGTCATGTTATTTTATTGGCTATGAGATATAGGGTGGCAAATAGCATGATTCTCCCACTTTTCAGATTAGCACTGGTTGGGTACATTTTAAAGAAATGCAGAACCCTGGGGGAGTGGCATGATGGGGAAATAAATTGGAAGTTTGGTTTGGAGTCACTATTGACTTGAAAAGATGTTGTTATGACTAAGACTCAATTCAATTTTGAATTCATTATTTCACAACTGGGATTAGAGTTAAATGACCTCACTGTGCTGTACTAAATCAGCTTTCAATGCATGAAACTGTTGAGGACTGTAAGCTAAGGAAGTAATAATATGTCACTTAAATTATGTGAAATAATTTATTTTACCAAAGCATTAGTACTTACTCATTGCTTACTTGATGTAGATTGGAGGTTGAATTGTTTTGCTTTTCCAAAACAGCATTGATTATTTGTAATATAATCTGGGTTAGGTTCATACTTATCTCATCACACTTTGAAATCTCAGCTACTTTATAAACAATAATCTTCGTCTCTTCTTCATCCAGAGGTGGAGATTCATTTATCAGATTTAAAATGTGTTCTGCAACATCATCTGCATTCTCTGGGGAAGCAAAACAGAAATGCCCCCATCTACATTACCATACTTAGTTTTAGACCATGCTGGTCTGCTTCCTTCCCTCTAAAAAGTAAAGGCAGTGAAATCGTAATACATGCCAAAGTAACAAAGTTTGCAGAAGGGAAACATTGTATCTCAATTTCTACAGCAAATTTAGTCCCAGAAAGTGGCACACAAATCAAGTTTTTATTCATTAAAACCCTTTTTTTAAATGCACTAGGGAAATCTTTTTGTCACTGAAGAATTATCTTGAAATTTGATTCTAATTAAGTTAAGACTTCGAAGTGTTGGATTGAGTTAAGGAGATTCCATCTGTACTCAAATATCAGCAAACACAGTCTATGATTTCCCAGTCAAGGGTAGTGACTACAATTTCCTGTCAAGAACCAGCAACCCACACAGCAAAAAAAGCAAATATGGACCACATAATAAAAAGCAATTAATTTAGAATTTCTAGAGAGTAAGAACAATAGACATTAACCCGCCCACTTTTTTCTTCACTTTTTATAATGGAAATTTTGAAGCAAACGCAAAAGTAGAAGAATAGTATAATGAATCTCCATGTACTTCATGAATCACCCAACTTCAACAATTGTCAATGAGAGGCTAATCTTATTTTATCTACTGTCTCACCCACATTTTTCCTAAGCCCAGATTATTTTAAAGCAAGTCCTAGACGTCATATCATTTCATTCATAAATAATTTAATACATGTCTTTTTTCTGTGTTTTTTATTGGTGCATTATAATCATTGATAAAAGTGGAATTTTTGTTACATAGTCGTGCATGCAGACAATGTAACAATATAACTAGGATATATCTTTAAAAAAAACTTTCATTTGTCTTAACCATAATTCTAATTAAATTAAATTTAAGTTGAAAAATTTGTAGTAATGTTTACAAATATAAAATATCCTATCAGTGCTCAAGTATCCTTAACTATCTCATAATTTTAAAAAATAATTGCTTTGTCTGAATTATCACCTACTTTTTTGGGAAAGAGTATTACTATTTACTCAGGAAATATTAAATTAGTATCTATTTTGTGAAAAGTACTGGTCTAGGTGCATAAGAAAATATGCATACATAAAACAGACAAGGAAAACAATTGAAAAATATAGTCTGTTAGGAAAAATTCCAGAGATTACAGTTGTGACATATTTGAGTCAGTTATGTTGCATATGAACAACTGAGTTTGAGAAAACAATATAATATCACATAAAATTCGCTCTCTCTTTCTCTCTCTCTCTTCATCCCTCCCTCCCTCTCTTTTATGGTCCTCCATGGTCGTTAGCATCTCTTCAAATCTCTCTCCTACCTCAATCAAGCTCCCTATAACTTTACCCCTAACAAAGCTAGCACAGGGTGTTTTTCCCTCTCTTCCCTTTCCCCCCATTTTCTTGCTCTATTCTTTTTTGTTCTACAAACAACTCTGCCCTCATCAATGTAAATTAAGCAAACTTAACTGAGGTCCTCTGAATAGCTCCCCCTCCACGATGGCTTATGTGAGAACTGAGTTGGCAAAAACAGGGTTCAGAGAAGGGAACAAGGGGGGACATTGACTAAGTGTGTAGTTGTTTCTAAACTAATATTTTGTCCCTATTAATATCTTTCCTTTGGTCAGTTAAACAAATTGAGAAAACTATAAGACTAGGGATAGAAGAAAAATATGGTGAGCTTATTCATGGATCTTTCTACTGCTCTTGTTAAATTGTTCAAGCTCTGTTGAAAATGGAATAGCTGGAGCTGCCTAGTTATGATTCTTCAGGCTTCAGTGGTGTGACTTCACTTCACATAGTCCCTGCTGTGGCAGAATGAAAGTAAACAACAGGCCAATGGGAGCCTAACTATTCTGTGGAAAGTAATTATAGACTTTTCATCTGGAGTTATACAATTTTTAAGGAAAATTCAGGCTAAATTATATTTATTGTGTAAAACTTCTAGGTCCCCAAACAGAAGCAATAAAATGAATCTTCTTTTATTAATTGCAGAATATTGCTTGAAATAGCATTACAATTAATCTGCCAATAATTGCAACAATCAAAACAATAATAATAACATGCATTATTACTGACTAATTTCTGGGAGTCAATGTTCGAGTTACCTGTTGCTACATAACAAACCACCCCCAAAATTAATGGCTTAAAACAACATTAATTATTATCTTTAATGGCTCTGTTGTTAGATTCAACCAAGCAGTTCTCATTTGGGATCTTTCATGCAGCTGCAGTCAGGTGGCAGCTGGGGCTAGAGACATCTGAAGGCTTGGACTGGGCTGCAAATTCAAAATGGTGCATTCACATTGCTGTTAGTTGATGCTGATCATGTGCTGGTCATTGGGGATTGTCTACATTCCCTACCCATGACCCTCTCAGTGTTGTGCTAGATCCAGATGTGAGGTATTAGAGCTGGTTTGTACTAGCTCATGGGAACCTGTCACAAATTTGGATGAATTTTGTGAACTGGTTATTAAGCAGACAAATCACTAAAACTTAAATTCTATAAATGTACAATTAAGTGAATTATATTCAAAACAATGGTGATACTCAAAACCATAAGTTCTGAGAGGCAGCATCCCAAATGAAAGTGTACCAAGAGGAAACAAAACTTTCAGTACTTTTAAAAGTTGATCACATAATTGGCAACATCTCTATTTTCAAATTCTACCATACTTTGCAGTCACAAGCCATCCTCGCTTGAAGAGGAGGGAATAAAATGATGTATGGCATTTTGGAGACAAGATACAACAGCAAGGCATTACACATGCATTTTCTCACCACAATAATTCTATGTGATGAGTTCTCATATTATCTCCCTTTATACAGATTGAGAAATTCTAATCTACTCTGATTCCAGAGCTTGAATTCTCCAATATCACTTCTTACTACAGCATCTTCTTCTTAATTTCTTCATATTGTTAGGCACTGGACTAGAAGGAGGTCTACTTGACCTACTGGGAAATTGAACCCAGGGCCTCTGGCATGCAAGGCTTGTATTTTACCACTGAGCTATGTCCCCAGCTATTATCATTCCTCCTTAGTCACACACAATCCTGCCCTGATGGCAGGAGGACATGGATAGGAGAGAATTTTGTGATGTCTTAGCCAACTTCATTAGAGCCTGGTATATCTTCACTATCATGTGGGTAACCAAAACTAAGAACAGAAAAGGCCTCAAAGAACTTTGAAATAAGGATGCCTTTTCTAACTCTGTTATTACTGAGGAGGTAAGACAAATGAGCAGTCAAGTGGAAGAACTAAAGAGTTTTTGTCCAACTAAGATTCAACCAAGATATCTAATACTTGTCAACAAGATTAAAAACTAATGAAAATAAATTATTCCAACATGAATACGTTTTTCTTTCCTTTACATTGCACCCATTTTTCACTAAGCTCTTAACTTATAAGAAGAGGATTCCTCCAAAGCTAAAAAACTTGATAGTTTACTTTTCAGTTATATACATTACAATCACCATCCAACTGTCCTTTTGCTTCACAGTAGTGTATGTATGTGTGTGTATGTGTATAGATATATAGATGTAATGACTTCTCACAGTCAATTTTCTAAAAATCCGAACTTGATACAGTGCTTTTGTTGTTGTTATGGCTGTTTTTAAACTTTTTCTTCCACAAGAGAAAATTCTATTAGCATGTCTAAAGAAAATGTGTCACTCAGAAGGAGGCAGGTCAGCGTGAAACACAGACCTTTCTATCTTTCCTCCCACTCACTATAAGCTGCAACACTCCCTACTGCCCTGACTCATGAGTTCTGAACTAGGAACCATCAAAGTTGCGCTTGTTTTTCTAATTCTTCCAGATATTCCTGGACAAGGGTCTTAATTTTCTATCTTCCACAAGGAAGACAAGTCCAAGAAGTTCACTGCCTCCAGGCCAATTTCCTGGCTCTTCTGCAAGGCACTGGAGTGCTTATGCCTCAATTTTTGACAATTCATTATGGCAGAGACCCAATTTATGCAGTAAAGCCACATCTGATAACTGGCATAGAAATGAAATTTAGTTTTTCCCTTTCATTTTTATTAAGATCATTTTTACTAGTGCATTACAATTGTACATAATATTCAGCTTCATTGTTACATATTCATAAGTGCACAAACATAATTTGGTCAAACTAATTCCCAGGTACCTTCCTTTTTCCTCCCTTCCTCTCTCTCTCAGGCCCCCTTCCTCTACTCCACTGGTCTCCCTTCTATTTTCATGAGATTCTCCTTTCTTTTCTTTTTTCTCTCTGGCTTCCACATATTAAAAAAAAACATGAAGTCCTTGACTTTCTGCTTCCTGCAAATCACATGATTGCATTCTTCTTTATGACTGAGCAAAACTCCATTGTGCATATATACCACATTTTCCTTATCCATTCAAACTCAATGTCTGATGAGGCCCCACTCCCTGGTTCATAGACAATGATCTCTTCACTATAATTTCAGATGATGGAAGGTACAGACAAGCTCCCTTGGCCCTCTTTTATAAGGGCACTAATATTATTCATGAGAGCTCCACTTTCATGACCTAATCACCTACCATAAGGTCACCTTGGGATTAGGATTTTAACATATAAATTTGGTGATGGGGCATAAACATTCAGTGTATACCATACACCTCACCAAAAAACGATATACAGATGACAAGTAAGTTATGAAAAAATATTCAACTTCACACGTCATTAGGGAATTGAAAATTAAAGACACAATGAGATACCATCACACACCTATTAGAATGATCAAAATCCAAAACAGTGACAACATCAAATGCTGGTAAAGATGTGGAGCAACAGGAACTCTCATTCACTGCTGATGGGAATTAAAATAATACAGCCACTTTGGAAGATATGGCAGTTTCTTACAAAACTTAACATGCTCTTAGTATTTAATTCAGCAATTTCACTCCTTGGTATTTACCCAAATTAGTTGAAAACAAATCCATATAAAAACATGCACACTGATGTTTATAGCAGTCTTATTCATAATTGCTCAAATATGGAAACAACCAAGATTTGTTTCCGTAGATAACCAAATAAATAAAATGTGGTACATTCAGACAATGGGATATTATGCAGTGCTAAAAAGAAATAAGCTATCAAGCCATGACAAGACATGAAAGAACCTTAAATGCATATAACTAAGTTAAAGAAGCCATCCTGAAAAGGCTATATGCCATATAATTTCAACTACATGACATTCTAGAAAAGGCAAAAACATGGTAGAAAGATCAGTGGTTTCCAGTGGTTAGTTGGAAGTGTGGAATGAATAAGTGAAGCACAGAGAATTTTTAGGGTAGTGAATTGATTCTGAATGATACAATTGTTCAAATTTATAGAATAAACAACTCTAAGAGTGAATGTTAATGGAAACTATGAACTTTTAGCGATTATGATTTTTCAGGGTAGGTTTATCAGTTGTAACTAATGTAGCACTTTGGTGAGGGTTGTTGATGTTGAGGGCAAGCTATTCATGTGTCAAGGGGGTGTGTATACGGGAATTCTGTTTTTTGCTTAATTTTGCTGTGAACCTAAAACTCCTCCAAATGAAGAAACTATTTTAATAATCAACAAAATTCAAAATCTTTTAGCTAACCAAGACAAAAAGAGAAGACACAAATTACCAAAATCAGGAATGAAGGTGCCCATGTCAGGGGGAGGCATTATCACCAACCATAGTTTAAAAATGAACAATAATGAGTGTTTACAAATATGTAAGAAAAGTAGAATCTTTGGACAGTGTTGGCATGATGTAAGATGGTACAGCAGCTGTGTGAAAGTTCTGCAGTCCTCCAAAGGCTAATTGTAGGGTTACTATAGGAACCAAGCAATTCTACACTTCAATATATACATAACAAAAGTAAACACAGATCTACAAAAAAGGAAATGAAATTCCCACACATGCTACAATATGGACAAACCTCCAAAACATTATGAAATGCTTAGATTCAGAGAGATACAAAGTGGACGCATGCTGGACAAGAACTGAAAGAGAGATAAATAGACTGCTAATGGGTACAAGGTTTCTTCTTGGGAAAATGTTTCAGAATTAATGATGCTAGTTTCACAAGCTATTGAATGTGCTAAAAAAAGCCCTCTGAAAAAAATACTCTTCTAAATTGTAGATATTAAATAGATATAGACATATGAATATCATTACCAAAAAAATTAAACTACATCGAGACTTCAATTTTTGTTAATCAAATCAACAAAGACCCAAGAGTCTAAAAACATGCTGTGTTAAGAATAAATTGGTGTAACTACTATAGGGAGAATTTTGACATCATCTCAAATAAGATTAACCTACCCATTCCACTTGCAAGAATTTATGCTTCAGTTATACCCTACTTGCACAAATTGTCATACCTATGATATCCACTACAGCAGTGTTTTTTATATTCCCACTTGTAAGTTATCAAAGTACCTGTTTTAGAACAATTTAATCAACACAGCATGTTATTGGCCTTTTAGGTGTTTGGTGAATTGATTAGAAAAATGATATCCCAATGTAGTTTAAAGAGATACACTTTGTTTTGAGTCTCTTTTATCTAACAGTATGGAATACACTAATGAAGTTTCACAAACCAGAATAAAAATTAACATGGTCTATAAATGTAATCTGAAAAGAAATGAATCCTTCTACATCAGCTGCTTAGAGAATGCCAGTTCTGAAACATTTTACATACTAATAAAAATATATTTTTAAACATATGCTATTTTTCCTTTTAATAAAAAACACAAATAAGTAAAAATAGTTTGTGATAGTGTTTTTAAAGGAAAATGTTACTGATAATCTAAGTATCCATACATAGAAAAAAGCTTAAATAAATAGGTTATGGAGAGTTTTTTTCAAAAATGGGGAGAGTTTGGTTGATCAATAGGTACTAAGTTACAGTTAGACAGGAGCAAGAAGCTCTGGGACAGTAGGGTGTCTACAGAAAACAATAATGTACTATACATTTCAGAAAGCTACCAGAAAGTATTTTTAAAGTTTTCACCATAAACAAACGGTAAATGTTTGAGAAAATAAATATATTTAATCTGATTTAAATAGTATGCAATGTTTACGTATATCAAACATCACATCTCATGAATGTGTACAACTTTTATGTTTTTGTGTCAATTAAAAATAAGTTTATTGAATGAATAAATAAATAAATTACCAGTAAATAAACTGCAGAACACTCATGAAATATAATATAGTTAGTGTGGGGGGCATGAATAAGCTGTTTATATAATGATATAATAATTCCCTCTCTATATTGTTAAGAGAAAAGAGTGAGGTACAGAATGGTATGTATGACATGCTCTATCCTGTATACAAAAGAGAGGGAGAGTGTGCATGTAACAAATATGGGACAGCAAATCCCATCAATATGTACAACTATAATGCACCAATAAAAAAAATTGGAAAAAAAGAGAGAAAGGGAGGGAGAACATATACAGGCACAAGTGCGTATGTGTACACATTTCTTTTTTTTAAGACAGAGAGAGAAAAAAAGTGAAAATTTTTTAATATTTAATTTTTAGTTTTCGGTGGACACAACATCTTTATTTTATTTTTATGTGGTGCTGAGGATCGAACCCAGCGCCCTGCACATGTCAGGCAAACGCACTACTACTTGAGCCACATCCCCAGCCCACAATACCTTTATTTTATTTATTTATTTTTATGTGGTGCTGAGGATCAAACCCAGGGCTTGCATGTGCTAGGCGAGCGCTCTACTGCTAAGCCACAATCCCAGCCCCTACACATTTCTTTATAGATGTGTATACTCTCTCTGTGAATAGTCACTGAATGGCTGGGGCCACCACTGGGAGGGAGATGTTTCACTGTAGATTATTTTTATCTTTGAATATTGGACTAGATGAGGTATTTATAAATTAAACTTTTTGCAAAATTTAAAATAAAATGAAAAATAGTAAGTCAAAAATTATAAAACAAAAATTCATAAAACAAAATAAAAAACCGTGATAGTCTTAACTTGTCACATCCCCACCACTTCCAGCAACTTAAACTAACTACCTAGTTTCTGAAACTGGATTATTATAGGGTAGATTTTCATTAAACGAGGTTTGCCTGTACTCTCTGGTCTCAGGACAAGTAGGCAAACTAGCTAAGGTTCCATTATTTCTCCGATGTGTACAAAACAATCTTACCATCACTGATGGTAATATTAGCAAGATCCACAATCTTTTCAGGAAGTCCTTGAAGCAATTTACATTGCTTAAATCTTGGTTTCTCCCACTGAGATTTGCCTGTTTGAATGCTGATTGAACTGAAAAAGAGAGAAGGGAGGAATAAAAGACATCCTAGGATGAAAAAACAGCTCTATCTTTGGCATGCCTTTCCCTGACCCACCCCCAGCCTTCTGGCCAAGATAGCACCGGCAGGAATACAGTAATTCTTTGTAAAGTGAAGAAAAATTTGTTCTTGGAAGACAAGTGAAACTAGGGTCAGCAGGTGGGAGGATGACTAGGCAAGGGAGATGGGGGAGGGAGGCAGAGCAACGTCTGGCTGATCAAGAGTCAAGGCAGAGATGTCAGTCTGCTGAACATGACTACTTACCTTCATTTCCTCCTCTTACCTGTAATTGTAAAGGGAAATGTGGGAATGCAGTCTCTAACTCAGCATATAAATTTCCTCTAGGTGATTAGTATAGAACCCTCTGTAGCTCACTGACACTTTCAGCCACCCTTCCCAGTGCCTCATCCAGTTTAACACAGTTCAAGTCAGCCAGCACATTCATTGAGCACCCATTATGTTCTAGGCTGATCCTCCCCTGAGATTTGTGTAGTTCAGTGGTTTCAGATTCTAAATGTTACCTTCTTTAAAATTGGACAAAATATAAGAAAAACTGTATAAACAAAATGGAATGTATCAAACCATCAAGCAAGAACTTAGTTTCAACACTTGAGCTAAGCCCAGTGCTGAAAGGACAGAGGCAAAGAAAGACATACAACTTGCCCACCTGACCCCCATCTCCCTGCACAGCAAACAGCACAAGCACAGAGAGATACACAAGGAAGTGTCCATTGAGTCCAGACTAACAAATGGTCTTTTTGGCTGGAATGCATGGTAAAGGGAGGGGAAGTGGTGAACGAGACAGCAGGAGAGGGAGTCTACAATTTGGAGGACTGCATTTAGGGGTTTGGATTTTGTTCCTGAGTAGGAGTATGACATGATGACAGTCAGCCTTTGGGATAATCATGCTGGCAGCAGTGTGTAATGGAGCTGGGGTAGCTGGTGCTTAGAAGGCGAAGGGACTACTCTAACAGGAGGTGAGAGCTAGTAATGGGCTTGCGCCAAGCAGTGAGGTTGGAAAGGAGAGGCTCCATGTGGACCCTGACTATGGCTGTCAGAACTGCCCTCCTTGAGGACTGATTAGATGTAGGCAGGGAAAGGTAGCATACAGTTGGAGATGTGGCTTTCTAAGAGTGCTTTTAAGCCTCTGTCAAAACCTGCTGTCCTTCTGGTCTTGCCCACTTAAGTTAATGGCATAAACCATTAACAGCAGAGAGTAAGAAAAAAGGGCTGATGATTTTAAAAAGGAAAATGATAAAGTCAACAATAGAAGAGTGATTTAGTAAATTACTATGGCCCATCAACGAGACAGCATCTGAGGCCGATTTTTGAAATAATCATTAAAAAGATGAATCTAAAACATGGAAAATGTTTGATAAACCATTGAGTGAAAGCGTAAATTACATTACGGATTGGAGAACTGAACTGTGATTACCTCCACAGAAAATTTAAAGGCATACAGAGAAAGACAACATGCCAACCTAAAAACAGCTGTGTTCAATGGTGGGATGGTGACTGACTTCTCTCTTTGTCTTCTTGACATTATTTTCTTATTATATTGCATATGTATGTTTAAATCCATAAGGTGAAGAAAAGAAAGACTGGCAGTAGAGGTGGAGGGGAGGGAGCACGCCCAGAGAAATGACATAGAAACATGCCCCCAACGAAGCGAATCTTTGTATATGTGAACTAACAATTAGAACTTGGCCGGTACATACCAGATTCTAGTGGCATTTCCATCCTCATTTTTTATGCATCTGGTTTGGGCTGTCTCAGTAGGGTAGGTTAATAGCCACTTATATGTCCCTTTGTATTTAGTGGGTGTTTCGTGGGCTTCACACTTTCCTGGATCTACGGAGAAAAATGTATGCACATTTTCAAGGGCAAAAGGCTCTTAAAAGTATCATAAGCATCCATTACGACCCATCATTACTACCCTGCACACACACATCAGCAAATAAAAGAGGAGGCTCTTTCTACCAGGCCATTTAAATCAGGCTGCATTGAAAATAGCTTTAAATAGAGTATTCTTGTTTAAATAAGCCATCCAGTATAGCCACGGGTTTAGTCCTTTTCATTAAAGCCATCAGTTGACAGGAAAAATTATTTTTGTTGTTGTTGTTTAAATAGTATATATGCATTAAAAAAATTCCAGTCACATAAAAGGGTGTTAGAGGAAAGCATTCAAAGTATCCACCTGTCAACTGCCCTTCTTTTAAACCACCCATCCCAGTGTTCTCTGTGAGCCAGGAGGTAAAGTACCTTCCTATCACTTTCAGGACACATTTATCAGCATCAGCATCGTTTGCACAATGGGCTGTGCCTGTGCCCTCCCACTTCTCTGCCTCTCATCCCACTCTCTCTCTTGTGCAATCACAGCCTGCCCTCTGCTACTTCATTCACTTGCTGCCACGGATTGTGAGTAGGAATATCTGTGTATGTCCAGATTCACTAGAAAGTTTTAATGGCAGTCTGTTGGGGCAAGAAACAAAGCTGGCAGCAATGGGAGAGAAGTGGAGTAGACTGGTAGGGTTTTACTTTTACCAGTTAAGCATTCCTAATCAGGAAAGTAAAGGCCTAGAAGAGAAATCTGGGACAGTTCCCAAGTCACTTCTCAAGATGAATAGGATGCCTGAATGAAACAATAAATTAGCAAGTATCTATTAGGCATCTATTGTGTGTAATAAAAAAGCTCTCTGGGCTTCAGGGTGTTTTGTGCAAGAGAGACAATCCTCCCACACTGTGGGTAGACTGGCCACTGCTAATATCCACAGCTGACAAATGATCTCTTATAAACTCTCAGGCAATCCATTTCTTTCACAAGCTTTTAAAGGTAGAAAGGCCATCAGGACAAGTGGGTACTGCAGATGTGGAAAGGATCATGAAGATGACTTCTCTTCCCTCTGAGCTTAGGGTCCTTACTCTGAATACATCATGAATTTTATAAGAGGGGGAGTGAATTCATACTGAAACACCCAACCAAAATAATTACCTAGCTTTTTCACTGTGATGTGTTCAGACGTTACTAATAATGTGAACTGATCTTGTGTGAAGTTTCCACGTGAGAAGTTGCCATGTATTTTATTTCTGATCTTGATGATCAATTCCGTGGATTCTAAAGAAGAGTCAGCCTTTATGATGACCTGACAAGCACAGCTACAAAATGGGACAAAAAAGAAAATGTGCAGTTATGTCAGCACAGTGCAATTTGGCCTGCAGTGCTGAAATTTGGTATAGTTGCCTTAATTGGTAGTCCATAAATGTCAAACATTTTGTAGATATTAAGTGAAAAATCTTAAGAAATGATGGAAGACAGCATGTTGAAATCTTCTGAAAATTTTTTCTCACAGACAACCGAAAACCTATTTTCAAATGAAATGTCAGCAACATTTATAGTATGTGGAAATTGACTAACCATGAGATTTCTCCAGGAGTTTCTAATAATTAATAGAAAGTATGAAGTGCTCAGGACTTATTATTTCAGAGAAAACCTTCTATCCTTCTGATCTCCAATTTATCCATCATTAGTGCAATATGGCAAATAGACACATGTCCAATTAGTTCATAAAGACATGATCCACAGAAGGCTTATTTCTATAATGGAATAATAATGATGATAATGATAGCTAACATTTGTAGAGCTCTTGCTGCACATGTTTTGAGTCATTTGATCCTCAGAGCAACATTATAAGGTTAATTATTCCCATTCTACAGATGAGGGAGCTGAACTTTAGGGAGATATTTCTCTCAGTCACAAAAACCCATCCAGTGTTTCTGTCCACTAAAACATATGTTATAAAAGAATAGACTGTCCCTGACCTCAACCCATACAGTGAGGTCCTTAACCCTTCTAAATTCCTCTAATATTTCATTAGAGGAACCTTTTAAAATTCACACTTACCTATATCTCTTTTTTCCATTTCCATTAGTACATGCAGTTTTAAAATATTTTATTAGTACATTATAGTTATTCATAATAGAAGGTTCATTTTCACATAATTGCATGTGTATGAAATATAATTTGCTCAACTTCAGCCCCCAATATTTCCTTTTACCCTCCCTTCCTCACTCCCCCTTCTCCCTTTCCTCTGCTCTTTAAGTCTTCCTTCTCTCTAGTCATTGTTTTTTAAATTGGTACTTTATAGCTATACATAAGGATGGACTTCACTGTTGGTATATTCATATATGTACACAGCCTAATTTGGTCAATTTAATTCCACTTTTCATCCCTTTTCCCATCCCTTCTCCCTCTTCCTCTATCTCCTTCCTCTACTCCACTGATCTCCCTTCTATTTTCATGTGATCTCCTCTTTTTCCCTTTTTCTCTAGCTTCTTCATACAAGAGAAAATATTTGACCCTTGACTTTCTGAGGCTGGTTTATCTTACATAGCATGATGTTCTCCGGTTCCATCCATTTACTGGAAAATGCCATAATTTCACTCTTCTCTGTGATTCAGTAAAACTCCATTATGTATATAAACCACATTTTCTTCATTTACTCATCTGTCCATGGAAATCTGGGCTGGTTCTATAACTTGGCTATTGTGAATTGCACTACTATAAGCATTGGTGTGGCTGTTTCACTAGAGTATGATGAATTTAGTTCTTTGGGATAAATACCAAGGATTGGGATGGATGAGTCATATATTTTTGAGGAATCTCCATACTGCTTTCCAGAGTGGTTAAACTAGTCTGTAGTGCCACCAACAATGTGCAAGTGTACCTTTTACCCTACATCCTCACTGGCTTTTATTATTTGTATTCTGGATCACTGACATGGATGGAATGAAATCCCAATGTATTTTTTTTTTTTTGGTACTAGAGTTGAACTCATAAGTGCTTTACCACTGAGCCACATTCCCAGGTACTCACCACCTTTTTTTTTTTTTAATTTTGAGGGACAGTCTCGCAAAGTTGCTTAGGACCTCACTTAGTTGTTGAGGCTGGCCTTAAACTTGTTACACTTCTTCCTCATCCTCCTGAATTTCTGGAATTACAGACATGAGCCACCATGCCTAGCTCAATATAGTTTTGATTTACATTTCCTAAAGATGTAGAATATTTCTTTATATATTTGTTGGCCATTTGTATTTTTTCTTTTGAGAAGTATCTGTTTAGTTCTTTTGCCCACTTATTGATTGCATTATTTGGGGGGGATGGTGTTAATTTTTTTAGTTCCTTATATATTCTGAGTATTAATCTCCTGTTAGAAGAGTAGCTGGCAAAGATCTTTTCCCATTCTGTAGGCTCTCTTATCACACTCTTGTTTTGTTTGCTGTGCAGTAGATTTTTAATTTGATGCCATCCTACTAATTGATTCTTGGTACATATCGTTTTTTGAAAAACATATTTGCTGAGTTTCCTACCAGTTGTTGAAAGTTAGATGCCTTTACTCAACACCTCTCTGTATATCCAATCTATTTGATTCCTCCCCATCCCCTGTTCTATATGTGGTGAAGTCCCTGCTCATCCTACACATTGAATTTGAACCCTATCTCTTCTCAGCTTTTGGTTTTCCAGTCTTAATAAGAATCCTCTTTTTGAACCTCTCATCTTGCTTGCAACAGACCCTCTATGCCAGCCCCTTGAACATTTCAATGATCTGTTCATGAGGCTTCTTTGGCTATATGTCCATTATGATGTGCACTAAACAGATCAACGATAGCCAGTGTTCCAGGAGGAGCTGGGCCATGAATCTGAGCAGGACCAGGGATGCTTTCTATGTTGCTGTCATTGTTTTCAATTCTCCTGCTCAGTATTTCATGAACCTTATTGACCACAACAAACAGTATATTCCCCTATCCCCAAATTATAACCACTTTGGACCCCATTTTCTCCTCAGTACAAAGAGGCAGTAGGCAGATTGCTAGGCTGTGCTGTGACCAACCAAAGCAACTATTTCGTGAAGGCAAAAGCCCAATTACAGCATCTGTAAAATAACCATCAGGTACTTTGATCTCCTTCTGACAACCTGACCAACAGGCTGTGCATATGGAATTAAATGGAAGGAAAATCAGAACTAAATGTACCAGCTATGAATAAGCTCAGCTCCTACCTGTATGGTACATGGGAAATTGTAGTCATTCCTTGCTCTTCTCTCTGTTCCAATGGATGCAAAAGAAAAGTACATAGTCACTGAAACAAGATTAGGAGCAGAATCTAAGCTCCTGAATCTAGATATTAACACAGTGGTGATAATAGTAAACATGGAACATTTAATGCATTCTGAGCCCTTTGCTAAGCACTTAACATAAATTATCTCATTATATCCTTCTAACAATCCTCATTTTAAAGATGAGAAAATTAAGAAACAGAGATTGATTAAGTTGTCCCAAATATCACAGCCAGGAATGGAGGAATTCTAGTCCAGGCAGCTTGACCAGATTATCACCAAAAAGCCTTTACAACTGCTAGTTGAAGTTTTATTTATATCATGTTATCTATAACGTTATATTTTAAAATTCCGACAACTACATATAGGAGGTATTTTAAATGATGGTAGATAATGCACTTAATGTATTTTGTATAGTCAAAATATTTACCTCATATTTAAATACCTTAAAAGCTCTGTACTTTCTAATCATTTAAAAATGGTACATAGAGTGTACCATTGTAAGACTTTAAGGCACTAAAATAAGTACTGAGATTTGGGACAAGGATGATGGGAGATAACTTTGCCAAACTCTGATTTCACAGCTATACAAATATAGAGGGTAGATTTAAATTTAATATGTGAATACCAGTCTTGAAAACAGTTGTGTCACTCTTAAAAAGGCTAGAAGTTTTGTGAGATCTCTACAATAGAAGAAATTGTAGAGAATAGAAGAAATTCTATGTAACATTTACAATCCCCACGTCATTCCCCATTCTCTTAGCCCACAAAATGTGCTTCAAAAAACTGTCACACTGATAGTTCAGACAAGCAGGGGATGTTTTTTTTAATGGATTGTTGTGGAAGTAATTTAATTTGATATTCAATTGTCAACAATGAATCTTGCCTGATAAAACACCCTTGGGTAAAAGATCTATTTACTAATCTAATACCTGATTATAATATTGGTCTCATGTAAGTTGATTTTTCAAAATTACTTACAAGAAGTCGGTCCATGGCCATTTCTTCCTTAGAAGTTTTCCTGTATCAAAAGTATCAAAAAATTGTATAAAAGTGAAACATAGTACCAACTACACAGGACACAAGATCAGGATGAAGAAATCTCTAAAGCAAAAGAGTAGAATCCTCTCAGCTTCGAATTTAAGTAGTACTGTGGGTTCAATGGAACACTTGAAATGAACTTGGTCATTACATACCAAAATGATGGTAAACCTTTGATTCAATAATCCTACTTCCAGGAATCTATTCCATAATTGTACCAGTAATGGTGCATAAAATATATATATTTGGGTAGAAATTACTCAAATGTCTGTCATTAGACAACTGAACACATACATCATATTATGCTCCCACAAAAGAATCTTATGTAATTATCAAAATGTATAAGATATATTTGTATGTGTTGGCCCAAAAAGATACAAAATAAGAAAACACTATGTAAAACAAAACAAGAAAAGAAAGTTGTTAAACAGTACACAGAGTAGGATTCTGTTCTCTTAGTAAACACATGAGAAAAATTTAGAGGAATGTATAAAATAAGTTGTTCAGTTTTTTTCAGTGCTGAGGATAGGACCCAGGGCCTCATGCATGCTAAGCAGGTGCTCTGTCTCTGATCTACATCCCCATCCCTCACAGAAGTCCTTAAAGGAATAGGGAAAAGTGACTTCCCAGAGATTTTCATTTTCTGTATCATATATTTCTGTTAAGTTCTAAGGTTTACAATGGCCACATCTTACCTTGCAATAAAGAACAATTGTAAACAATTTTGTAAAGGAACATTGTATACCCCAAATATCTCTGATATTGTATTAGTAATTGTTTGGGATTGAAAATTTGTATCTACTTAAAATTAACAATTTGAAGCTTAATCATGAAATATTATAAAGTGTGGCCTTTTGGAGGTAATTAAGCCAGGAAGATAGTGCTGTCATGAACATGATTAGTGCCATTGTAAGTAGAGACAGGACAGCTTTCTCTTTCTCTGTTTTCTGCCATGTAAGGACACTATAAACAGAGAAACCTTTATCTGGACCTGGCCATGCTTTCTTCCCAGCTATCAGACCATAAAAAATAAAATTCTATGGTTTAAGTCACCCAGTCTATAGTATTTTTATTATAGTAGCCCAAACTGACTAAGACAATCATCTATAATGGATTTACCTACATTATTTTTATATGAACCTCCCACCTATTAATATTTAACATATAAGTAAAAATGAAGTCCAGCTTTCAGAAGATAGTCACATTTAGTAATATGGTTTGAATATGATTTATCACTAATAAATCTCATGTTGAGACTTCGCCCCTTAAGTGGCACTTTTGGGAAATGGAGTCTAGTGAGAGGTGTTAGGGCAGAGACATTATAAATGGATTCGTGTCTTTCTCTTAGGAGTGGGTTCTCACTCTCATGGGACTGGATTAGTTATCTGGAGAGTAGATTGTTATAAAATGAGGCTGCCTCTCCTGTTTTACCTCTTCTGCACACACCTGCCCTCACACACCTTCCCCTCTTCACCATGAGTTGAAACAGCACCATGCCCTTACCAGATGTGTCTATCTATATAATTGTTGACTTTCCAGCCTTAAGACCCATGAGCCAAAATAAACCTCTTTTCTTTATAAATTACCCAGTCTGAAGTATTCTGATAATGCAACAGAAAATAGAGTAAGACATTTAATGTTCTTTAAAAAAATCAACTGATCATGATTTAACAGAGCCATACCTATTGTTCTGGGTGTCCCTCTAATAGAAAACTAATTTATGTGCAGAGAAAATCACAGGAAGCATTTTTCAGGTGACAGAGAGCCTTTACCATGGTTTCCTTGATACTACTCAGTTTCTGCCTATTTCAATTGCCTCTTGAAATTTGTGCCCCAAGCAAGTCTTAGAGTAGTTGACATTCCTCATTTTAAACATTCCATATTCCCTTTGGAATTTCTAATTCTCAAAAGTGCATCATCTGAAAGTAAAAGGTCTTATAAATCTTCACGCATTTGGCCATCTATATATTTTCATCCCTTTAAAGCATGATTTCCTTGAGTCACAGATTCATGGAATTTTAGAAAATATAGGAGCAGTATAGATAACTTGGTCTAATTTCAACTTTTTTTTTGTTTTGTCCTCCTGTTGGCTTTATACCGTGCAATAAGGCAAATTTCTTCCTCATTCCAAAGAGAACTTTAGAAAAGAAGATGCAACTATAAATGTGATAGCCCCTAAAGTTCAGGCATACAAAAAGAAATTCCTACTGGATATGAACAGACCCAGAATGCTCTCAAATTGCTCTTCCAACCAGAAAAGATGCCATCCACATACCTGCTTTTTATTTGGACAGCCAGATTAGCAAGAGAAAATTCACTGTCTTGAAATATATAATTCAACTGTAAAAGAAAAGAAACAGAAAATAACTTTATCATATTCTCACTCTTCTATTTTAACCCAGCAAAGTCATCCAGGACAATGTGATCATTAAGCTGTATTCATTATTTCAGTTGGCTCAACATCTCCATCTGCTCCACTTAGTTTTCCAATTTACATTTTACCTACAGTTATGGGTTTAATTATCCCCCCGAAATCCAAATGTTGAAGCCCTAACCCCAAATGTGATCATATTTGGAGCTAGAGCCATTAGGGAGGTGATTAAGGTTAAATGAGGTCATAAGAGTGGGTCCCTAATCCAATATAACTGATATTCTTATAAAAAGAGAGAGACCAGAGATGCATGAGCACAGAGGAGATACTATGTGAAGACACAGCAAGAAGGCAGCCATATGGAAGCCAAGGAGAGAGCTCACCAGAGACCAACCCTGCCAGCACCTTTATCTTGAATTTCCAGCCTCCAGAACTGTGAGAAAACAAATGCCTGTCTTCGAACCACCCAGTCTGTCAGATCTTCATAAGACACCATGAGCAGACTGATACACTCACCATCTTCAAGCACTTATAATCATGTCCTATACACTTGAAAATAAGTGTTGATGGGGAGAGGAGAAATCAATATGATCATTCACCATTGAATGGAAGATGCAAGTTGGTATTACCTATGTGGGAGGCAATTTGGTAATAACTCTTTTTTTTTTAAGAGAGAGAGAGAGAGAGAGAGAGAGAATTTTTTTATTTTTTTTATTTTTTATTTTTTTAGTTTTTGGTGGACACAATATCTTTGTTTGTATGTGATGCTGAGGATCGAACCCGGGCCGCACGCATGCCAAGTGAGCGCGCTACCGCTTGAGCCACATCCCCAGCCCAGTAATAACTCTTAATATGTAAAATATTCACATTTTTTATGTAACAATTCCAATTCTAGGGATTTACCCTCAAGTGCCTCAAAATTTATTGCAAGGGCATTGCTCTCAGAAGTGGTTAAAAATAGAGAAAAAAACAGAAAGAGCCTAAATGTCCACCAATGGATACCTAGATTTGAAAGAAAAAACACTACATTACAAGCATATAAGTTAAATCCTATGTATCTGTTAAAGTATATGAGGTTGATCTATGTTTACCATCATAAATATGCTCAGCGATAAATGGTTAATGGTTGGGGATAAGGCTTAGTGGTGGTACAGTGCTTGTCTAGGAGGCCTAGGGTTTTTTTTTTTTATCAGCACTGCAAAAATAAAATTTAAAATATGCATGATTGAGTAAGGGGAATTAAACAGAATCAGTCAGGCCATGATAGCATGATTTCAATTATTTATATGAATAAACACACATGCATTAATGTTATAATATGTATAGAAAAATCTAAAACATCTAAAAGAATATGCTTTAGACCATTAGGAGTAGTTAATGGAAGGAGGAGCAGTAGAGGATATTTGCTTTCTGTTTTAGATACTAATATCTGATAATTTTTTTTTACAAACCATATGTAATTAGTCTTATTATCAGAAAAATTCAAGGAGAGAGAAAAGTTAAAATGCATAAAACAAAGATACTTAGATACAATGGCACAGAATTTGTCACTGTTCTCCTATTTTACCCCAAATAGAAAATTTTGGCAAAGACTCAGAAATTGTGTCACTGGAGAGAAATATGCAGATCTAAACAAATGAAAATAATAACATTGCATAAAAGCTTTCAACTATTGGCTCTATGAAAGAGACTGCATAGATCCTCACAGTGTTGCTTACAGAATAGATTTGCAATGAAAAAAAAACCTCATTATCTGTGAAATGGTTTATTGATAGAAAAAAGTAAAATCTAGTTTTAATCTACTAAATCTTTGTCACAGAAGTTTATATGTATCATAAATATTCAAAAAAATATTTTACCCAATTTTTTGCCAATTCACTTATAACACTGGTAACAGGGACCCTTGGCTCTTCATCAAAGACAGAGAAGCTCATTTCAATATTGTAGAAGGAAACTGTAACTAAAAAATAAGGAGATTAATTTTATTCATTTAGTTCAAGAAATTTGACTTCTATAAATTTGATTAAAACTGCTCTCCATTTTAAAACAAATGAAACAACAACCTCTAATGCATAAACTTTGCATAATTTAAATGTAAGGTCAAGAACCATTACTTTTGGTACCATATTCAGAAACAAAACAGAATGGCATCATACCGTTTTTGCTTTAATTATTTAGACATTTTTCTGATTTCTACATAGTTGATTAATATTCTACAAATTCCCCCAAATTCTCTACTTTCATTGAACAACAGACTTTCAGTCTATTCAATAGCCAAATGAACATTGTCTCATATTTATACCGACAAAATAACCTGCATCCTCTCACCTAATCTTCCTTTCTGCTTCAGGGTTTTCTTTCCCTTAAGTTCCTCCTGCTCTTCTGTATTCTATCATTTTAATTTTTGAATAGTGTAAATTTCAGAGACACACAAAATGGGAACAATATGGAAGTCAAATATTCCCTAGCTATGGATAAGTATTCTTAGTCAGTTGGTTACAGGGATTGGAGAAGGCTGAGACCTGAGTATGAGGAATTCAAAGGCAGCATAGAATATATTCCAGTGTTTTCTGATGTGTGGTAAACATGGTCAGATCTAGGGCCATATGATCTCTACTGAGTAGGGGTAAATTTTCTAGTATGCTCACATTGGCAGAATCAGTCAGAGCATCAAGAACAGAAAGTGTAGAAAGGAGGCTTAAAAATGTAGTACTGAGTGCAAAGATACATTTGCATTATATTTAATTAGATACAAGAAACTTTTCTACACAATTATGTTTGCACAAGAACACTATGTCTCTGAAGAAGAGAAACACTTGCACACTTCTTCATCTTTTCTGCTCTCAGAGAACTGTCTACTTAGAGAACACATGGCCCATTATGCCTTCTATTAGGGATACATACATAAAGAAATAGTACCTTTGGGCTTAGCAGCAACTGGTGAAGTCAGTGCTTCTGTAGATAGAAAGGAATATGTGGAGTCCATCCAGGTTGTCTCAAAAGAAGAAGACTTTAGTGAAGTCACAGTTGCTTTGGAAGGATGTGTTATTCCAGTAGCTGTGAATGAAAATAAAGCTCCAGTGGCACTGGATGTAGTAGTGGTTGTATTTATGAGGTAATCTAGTATGGGATTAGGAAGAGTTAAAGTAGAAGATACTGACTCAGCTGGAATTGTGCTCCATGCAGATGTTTTTGTAGGTTTAGGCAGAGACATGGAACCAATAGATGGAGTGTGGTCAGCTGTAGAATGTGACATACTCATTCCATCAACAGATGGAGGTTGAGACATAGTTCTGGAGTTGGTAGTCATAGTAGCTCTGGAGGATATTTCAGGGGTTGTGGAAATGTATACATTGTCATCTGTGATTTTTGTAGAAATGGGGAGAGAAGTTGGAGAGCCATTAATGATACTGCCCAGGGTAGGTGTAGGAGTAGTTTTTGTAAGTGTGGTGCTTTCAGTAGCAAAGGGAAGTATTGAAATGTTAATGTGTGGGTATGTTGATATCATGGAAGAAGTTGGAAATGTAGATTTTGACACCCCTACTGGGGAGGAAGTTATAACATGAGGAGCATTAGTTATAGTCACCAGGGGAAAACCTGAAGGAAGACTAGATAAGATCCAAGTCAGCATTGATGAAGTAGTAGTCTTGGAGATTTTAGAAGGATTTGATGGATATGCGGTCCTAGGCATTACAGATGTGGTTGTTTTCTCAAATGTGTGCTTATTGTTAGCAGAAGAGGTGAAGATATCTCTTAAAGATGTTGACAATGAAGAGCTTTCAGAAATACCAAAGGTAGGAAAAATTTCTGATGTGGTAATTGATGACATTGCCATAACATCTTTAGAGACTAGACCAGTCTGCGGGGCTGCATATGTTGACAAAGACCCAGGAACAAGGTGCAGAGTCTCTGTTTCCGTCTTTTTGGGTGTAGGCACATGAGTAGTGGTAGAAATTGGAAACTGAGAATATTCAGTTCTGGGTGTGTTCCAGGAAGTTGTAAGCAGAGACTTTGTGTTACTAGATGTAATTCTTGTTCCAAGAACTGGATATTCAACCATTTGTGATGTAAGAGAGACCTCTGGAGTAGAGAACTCAGCATTTGCCTCAGTACCATGAGGTGAATAAAGAAGTGATGTCAAAGAGGGTGTAGTTGTATTGGATGGGGTCCATGAAGGATATAAAACAGGAGTATTCCCAGATGTAGCTCTTTTTGTTATCTCAGCTGATAAGGAAATATTTTCTGACAAGGAAGTCACATTTCCAGTATTAGAGGAAAGGTAAATGGTGGTGCCTTTTACACTTTTTGTGGATCCAAAAGTGCTCTTAGAGTCAGTTGAAGATGGGGAAACCTGGATATTCAAGGAAGTATGAAGATTATCTGAAGGAGTCGGCAAAAGCCCATTTTCAGGGACAGGAGTTCTAGAATAAGTATTTGTGAGAGATGTCACTCTACCACTGCTCATAGCCGAACGGGAGCTGTTAGTAATCCCAAGTAATATGCCCAGGGTTGTAGCTTCATCTCCTTTTAATGATTGTTGGATTGTTGATAGCGATGGTGAAGACATACTTGTTGGAATGGAGGAAATAGCTTCACTGTTCTTAGAACTAAGTAGAGAGGTGGCAGTGGAGCCTACAACTGAAGTCACTATTCCAGCTGGAATAGTGGTTGAAATGGTTTTCATGGATAGAAAACTTGGCTGTGTTGGAAAGGATGTTGCTGTAGGTGTGATCATTTCTGAAGTAGGTTCAACATATGTCACAGGTATGGCATTCAGTGTAGATGTTTGTGTGGTCATAGCAGTCCTAGGGGTAGTTGAAGACCATAAAATAGAGAATGACCCACTTGTTGTGGAAGTGTCAAAAGAACCTGCTGCAGGTAAGGAAACAGAATCATTAATTGGCCTAGAAGACATCTCAAATGTGGGCCCAGAAGTGGTCATAGTAGTATTTTTCAAACAATTTGAGTGTGTGGTTTTAGAAGACTTGGTCATTGGTATTGTGGGAGTATCAGAAGCATTTTTGGAAGTGAAAGTAGTGGCATTAACTGGCAATGAGGTTATATGGTAAACAGGAATTGAGGTTGTCGTGGAAGTTTCCCCAAGAAGTGTTGTAGTTACAGAAAGGACTGTAGTGATCCCATTAGTTGATATCATTGTAAAATTGTTATTGGATAATCCAGCTGTGGAAGGAGACAAAGACTTAGGGAAAGTATGTATGCTTTCAGAAGTAGAAGAGGCAACTAATGAAGTTATCTCAGGTTGAGTCTTAAGTGAAGGCAGGTCTGAAAGAGTTGTGTTGATGAGTACATTATTTGATATTCTGGTTGTCCTGGGAGTTATGGTATGAATGATTGAAGTATTCTGGTGATATGAGACAAGGTGAGTTGTAGAGGAGGAATTCACTATCATTTCTGCAGTTCTGGGAGTATATACATGAAGGTCACTTGTGCTTTCTTTATCAGGAGACAAAAAAGTGGTTATTTTCTGAGCTTGTGAAGGGAGATTTGTTTTCCCCAAACTAGTAGACATTTCTGAAATGTGAACATCTGCTGTTTTACTTGAGGTCAAGGTAGGTGTAGCCTGTGTGCTCCCAGAAGTCGGAAATGAAGTTGAATTCCCATCAGGTATAGTCCCAGATTGAATCTCTGAAGGTGAATGTGTTCGATAGCTAGAAGGTTTTGTGGTTTCAGAAAATCCTGTATCTGTCATTTCTAAGGATGAAGTACCCTGGGAATAGGAAATAAAAGAATTCTTTGAAGGAGACATTTCTGTCCCTGCCAAAGTCCTTGTGGTTTTCCCAAGGGAAGTGGTTATCTGCTCTTGGTCAGAAGATAAATTAGAGGTGCCAGTTGCCAATTGGGTAAAGACTGGTGTGTTTACAAGATGTGTGGAAGGCTGAGAAACGTGAATGCCTACTGAGGTAATAAGATTTTTGGCAGAGGTGTGCAAAGACATGTCTTCATCAACAACAGAGGTCTCTGTGGTGCCAGTAGCCAAGCTAACAGTATTTCCACCACTGCTGAAAGTATATGGAAAGCTAAGACCATAGTTAGAAGTTTTCTCCACTTGAGATATGGGTTGAGTTGTTGCTGGTGCAGATGTAGTTGTGATCAAATGAGTAGAGGACACAAAAGGTATGTTGTCAGGGGGAGGTTTTGAGCAGACAAGAGTGTGTGTGGATGGAGTTACTGTGTCAGCTGAGGTAGAGGAAAGGATAGTCCTAGTGTTAGATGTCACAGGAGTGAGAGGTCTCATTGAGGCTACAGTTTCTGTCAGAGGGGGAACTGCCATGGGTTTCATTGTAGTAGAGATCACTACGGCCTCTGAAGTGGTATCAGTTGAGATTCTGTGGGTAGGCATGGCATCACTGGTTGTGGAAGCTGTTTGACTCAATTGTGGCACCAATGCTGTGGTTTTTGTAGCAGATGACAGAGTTGAAACATTCGAGAGCATAGATGTGGAGAAATCCTTAGCCAGTGTAAAAGGCTCAGACATGGTCACCTTAGTTTCATCAGACACCACCATAGAGATGACAGAAGAAGTGACCGCAGAAACATTAACTGGCAGTGAGAACATATGGGTAACAGCTGTAGGGGTTACTGAGGACTGAGTAGCTGCAGTCTTTGGAGATATGATATCAGCAGACGAGAACAAAGCTGTCCTGTCTGTAGGAATAGTGGTGACACTGGCTTCCAATATTCTTGTGGTAGAAGCATCCAGGAGTTCAGGGAATGTCCGCATTTTCCCAGAAGTGGGAGACAGAGATGAATTTCCCCCAGGTGTCTCTGAAGTCCAATGTGCTGAATAGTTGTGAGTTGAATTAAAGATTTCTGTAGCTCCATTGTATGGACTCTTAGGTGTGGTTTGCATCAAATTTGTTGAAAACCAATTCCCTCCCACCTCAGTAGTTACAGTTTTATGATCCAATAGATTAGTTAAATTTTCTGTATCAGGAAAAGGGGAAGCAGTGGCAAAAGCTGTCACTGTTTGTGCTGATTCATTTATCATTTCCAGCATTGTTGAAAATTGAGAAAGCTCAGCTACTGCTGCTATTGTTGATTTTTCTTTAAGATGATGGGAAGTTGTTTCTTTCCTTGTCACAGTAACATTGAATCTTTCTGTTGTGACAGACTTTGGTACTGGGGCTGTTGTATCACCAAATGTGCTTGTACCATTTGTTTCTGTTTGTGTTACTTCAGAAGTGTTTTCTTCAGTAGAAAATTTTAGTTTAATATCAGCAAGGGTAGATGTTATATCTGCTGATGGAACAACTGTCTCCTTTGGTGTTGAAGGAAGTTCATTTGCACCTACTGTGGACATAGAGTTGGTTTTTAGTAGTAAGGTGGTAAATTTAAACTCAGGCAGATTAGTTACATTTGTAGTTCCAGAAATGGTAGAAAAATTAGCAAACTGTGGAGATATTATTTTGGTAAGAGCTGTTGTATATCTAGCTGTAGTGGTATCAGTACTAGTGGTAGCCTTACTTTCTGTGGAGGCTTCCAGTGGAGTGATAATATTAGTAGTTGTGGATGAATATCCTGTATTAGTAATATTCCCATGTAATGCTGATGTGAAATTTTCATTAGGTACAAATATAAGTGTGGTAGTTGTATTTATAGATGTTACCAGGGTCTGTTCTGGCCTAGAAGTCCAAGTGTTACCATTGGTGGAAAATCCATGGGAACTTTCATCAGGTGTGGGTGTGGAACCTGATTCAGATGCCTTGGATGTGGAAAGTGATTTAGTAGAAATTAAAGTAAGCATGTGTTCACCAGCTGTGGGTGTATTATGAGTATGTACTGACCCTGTGATTGTGGAGGAGAAAGTAGTTTTAGCCACTGTAGGTGCAAGTGTGATTGCAGGAGTGAAGGCTGTGTTTGAACTCTCAGCATCAACAACTGTCTGTACATTCTGAGTTCTAGTGATTGGAGAGGAGGTCACAGAATAAAAAGCCATAGAAGAGGTGTCTTTTGTCATGGAGGTAGATATGGCATCCTCCAAGATAGGTGAAGAAATATTCTGGAAATTTGTAGATGCCCATTCTGTTTCTGCTGTTCTTACAGCAGGTGTGGTCTCAAAAGACATAACAGAATGAACTGGAAATGCTGTTTGCACATCAGTTTTTGCCAATGTAGATATTGTCTGATTTCTAGTAAATATAGAATCCACTGGAGCAACTGTAGAGATGAGCACAGACTCAGGTGGGAATGTTGATGCAGTCTCAGTGACAGTACTTGTACCTGAAGTCTCTTCTACTGTGGACCAAGGTACAGTTCTGGCAGCTGTAGATACAAGAAACTCTTGCCCAGATGTGGTAAAAGGGAAAGGAGGAGTAACTGTAGATTTCTGTTTGGGCCAAGATGTTGTAGACATGGATGTTGACTCAATAAATGAGAATAAAGATGTGGTCTTCATAATAGCTGACTGAGATTCAGCTGAAGTTTCTGATGGACTTGAATTCTTGGTAAATCCAGATGTGGAAAGGAAATTAATAGCTGTAGTTGGATGCGAGGTCTTAGTAGACATGACTTCTGCCATTTTTGTTGTCCTTTTGCTTTCTGAACTTGAGGATTTAGTTATTTTCATGGAATCAGTGGTAGTGCATATAGATGTACTCTGGGTAGGCCTAGAGATGGCTGCAGAAGATAGACCATCTGTAGCAAAGGTAGCTGTCTCAGCTATAGATGTCCTTAAATTTTTTGATGCAGTCATTATTTCTACAGGTGAAGATGTTTTATTAGAATATGATAAAGTTGTATAATTAGTTGCATCCATAGGAACGCTTTTAGACATCACTGCAGATACATGTACAGTCTTTTGTGGTCTTAGTTCAGTAATTTGGGAAGGGGTTGTCAAGTTTATTTGTTGTGGAAGAGGCGTACTTGTTTCTTTAGTTGTCATATTTTCAGAAAGAACTGAAAAATCAGAAGGCATTTTTTACTTTGGATTCAGCCTTAGAAATCAGAAACAATTTTTTTAATGGAAAACATCTGGTTTCTTTTTCATTTTTAAGAGAAATAAGTATCATAGACATAATCACATTGCTTATTTCATTTTTCTTAAAATGATGTATACTCACTAATATCTTATATGGTTCTCATAATACCTTGGTTAGGTAACTTATTATTACCATGGAAGGTATTCATACCATGGTATGTCCATATAGAAGCTTAAAAAAGGGAAACATGCTAAATAAAGTAGCACTGATTGACACAATTAGCTTTGGGAAAGGTACAGAATCCTTGAAAGACATATTTACCAAAAATCACCAAAGAAGAAATGGACAATTCTATTAGTTTTATATCTATTAAAGTAACCAAATTGTGTACTTAAAAAATCTTCTAAAAAAGAATATCAACTTTTGATTCAAATAGAAGTAGTTTTAAATCTTGATTCATTACTTGCTTACTATAAAACTTTGCAGTAGCTTACTTAAATTCCGTGCTTCAATATCCTATTCTGCAATGTAAAGACTATAATAACACCCACCTTATAAAATTGTCATGAGACTTAAGTGAGTTAATGTGTGTGAAACATTTAGCATAATGCCTGGCACACAGTAACTTCTCAAAAAATATTTGATCTGACTTTGTCTAAGTCAATTTTCTATCACTCATTTAAAACTAGAAACTGAAAATGTTTTTATCTGGAGCCTCAAGATTAAAATGTCTTAACCATGAGATAGATAGATTTGTGTATATTTGTATTATATACATTATAACATACACAAAAATAGAAATGTCAAAAAATGGTAACAAAAATATAAGGAGAAATTGTAATATTTTCTTCCTATATTCTAGCATATTGTTTGGTTACCCCATAGGACTTTATACCCTGCTCTGAAGAACAATGGAGCCTAACTTATGCCTCCATTCAGATCAATTAAAGTTAACTAGAATTGTGAATACTATTCTACTATTCTAAGTTCTGTGAGAAATACATAGACTTATAGCATGATTCCTTCCCTCAAAGAGTTCATACTCTCATTGAGAAAGTTTTATGGTACTGAAATATTTTAAAAGACACAATAGTATTTTAAAACAAAACAATAATGAAGTTTATAATAAAGTGAACAATAGAATATAATAAGGTTTTACACGTCACCAGTATGCAATGGGAGATCAATACTGTGAAAGAGCAAACCTGGCTTCAAGCTAATGAGGAAGCTTTCTCTTACACCTATGAGAAATGATGGAATTAGGGTAGAGTAGGCAAAGGTACATGGCATTGAATACGGAGGCAGCAAAAGATCAATCTAGCAGGGAATGGGAGGGAGTGTGTTGAATAGTGATGAGAAAGAATGACAGATTAAGATGGGACCTGAAGGAAAGAGTAGGAAGATAGATGAGAAAAGATAATGTAGCTGCTTTCATGTATTGGGTATTTACTACAAACCAAGTACAGTGCTGCATGCAATTTCATTTAATCTGCCTAATAACTATAGGGTAAATATTATGAATTATCCTTATTTTAGAATTGTTAGAAACTTCACATGAATCATCCAAGTTCACACTTGAAATTCAAACCAAGGTTTATCATTTGTGCTCTAAATCACTGCACCATTTTGAGTGATCCATATTCTTTTCAAAAAAATTTCTTGTAGTTGTGTATGGAAAGCATGCCTTTATTTTATGTGTTGCTGAGGTGCTTTTTTATGTGGTGCTGAGGATGGAACCCAGTGCCTCATGCATGCTAGGCAAGCGCTCTGCCACTGAGCTACAGCCCCAGCCCATGAATGATCCATATTCTTGACCAAGGGGAATGAGTTAATAAAAAGCAGTCTTGAGGAAAAGAAATTTCATGGTGGTATACAGGATGAGTAGGAACTAGAGGGGACAGGACACAAAGAGACTCTTAAGATGCTGATAAGTCCTCTTCCCCCAATCTCCTCCCACCAACTCTGAGCCATCCCTATTGTCCATTTCCTCTATGCCTGCACTTGGGCAATCAAGCACTGTTGGACACGGTCACCCAAGAGGATAAATTAGCATGTACCATAACTTCATGATCACCAACCTCAAATAAGACTTTCACCTGCCCATCCACCCTACTACTTTTCTCTGGTCAATTTATGCTCCCACACAGCAATAACTCTTTCAAATCTTCCCCATTTTCAAATTCCACCCCCACATGTTTATCAGATCATCATGCCTCCTACTTTAAAATAAAAAGTAATTGAAATCATCAGCTAGAAACTCAATTGTGCTTTAGATCCTGTCACCTCCTACCATTCAGAAACCTCAAATCATCAGTTATCACTTTCTGTCCCTAATCAGCGTTTCCATCCTGAAATGAAACATATTCCAGTCTCTTGAAATAAAAAAATCAAAACACCACATTCCTCTGCAGGCACTGCCTTATCTCTCTCCTCCCCATAACTCCCAAAATTCTTTAAAGAAAGTTTATCTATGCTGACTACCTCTACTTCTCTGGCTACTCCTTCTCTATATCTTTTGCAGACTCACCCTATTTTACCTTGCCAAGGCTTGGCCCCAGCCTCTCTACTCTTCTCATTCTGCAGTTTTTCCACAATCAGTGTTTCAGTTTACACCTATACACAGACCAATCTCAAAGTCATATCTGCAGACCAATTCTGTATTCTGAACTACACATTTTTATAACTAATTGCTTCCTTGATGTAATCTCTTAGATAGCTTTAATATCTCAAACTGAACATACCCCAACATGAACTCATCATCTTCTATCCAAATTGATCTTCTTCTGGTATTTCTTTATTGAATGATACCACCATACCTTCAGTTATAGAAGTTAAACTCCTCTCCATCTGTCTCCTCCATTCTCCCACTCACCTGCCATAACCAACCTGTAATTGTGTTCTTTAGATCTTATTGCCTGAATTTCTCTCTCTTTCTTATTTTTCCAGATACTAGAATTGAACCCAGAGGTGCTCTATAACTGAGTTGCATTCCCACTCTTTTTATTCTTATTTTTTATTTTGCAATAGTCTTACTAGGTTGCCTAGGCTGGCCTTGAACCTATGATCCTCTATCCTTAGCCCAGTTGCTGAGATCACAGGTGTGCACCACAATGACGAGCCTAAATACCTCGATACAATCAATTTCTATCTCCATTAGTTGCCATGATGATCAAACTACCAACCTCTGACTACTACAGCAACCTCTCCATTGAGCTCTCTGTCACTGCTCTTGGGTCCCCTCCAATCTGTTCTATTATGCAATCAGAATGATCTTTTTGAAAGGCAAATATAATCATGTCACACACACACAAGCACACACTCAGCTCCTTTTAATGGCTTTTCATTGTTCACAGGATGAAAAGAATTTTTTTTAGTGGAGCCTATAAAGCCATTTATGGTTTGATTCCTACCCACCTCTCCAGCCTCAATTTGTTCCAAGTCTCTCCCTTTTTTTCCAAGCTGCTGCTGCTGCTTCTTCTTCTTCTTCTTCTTCTTCTTCTTCTCTCTCTCTCTCTCTCTCTCTCTCTCTCTCTCTCTCTCTCTCTCATACTGAGCATTGAACCCAGGGCCACTTAACCACAGAACCATATCCCAAGACCTTTTGTATATTTTTTTAGAGACAATTTTGCTGATTTGCTTAGGTCCTCACTAAGTTGCTGAGGCTGCTCTTGAACTTGCAATCCTCCTGCCTCAGCCTCCTGAGTCACTGGGATCACAGGCGTGTGCCACTGCACCCAGCTCTAAGCTTCTTTTCAGTTCTGTAGTACTTAGTATTCTCCTTCTACCAAAAAAGCATTGCACATGCTGTTGCCACAAATTACAATGTTGTTCCTGTTCTTCCTCATTTTATTAATTCCTATTCATCTTTCAGATCTCGATTCATGCATCACTTCATCAGGAAAGCCTAAATTACCTAACCTCACATGTAGCTCAAAGTAGTCTATATGAGAGTATTATGACACCTCATACTTATTCTTCATAGTATTTGCCATAGCTGCAGTTTTACAGGTGTTTGTATGTGCATATTAATATCTGTCTTCCTTCCTATGCCATATGGGCAAGGATCTCTTCTTTCACTACTTACCATTGTATCCTCAATTCCAATTTTTAGACTAACTGAATAATTGGAAATGAAGAAGGCAGGGAATGAAGTGAAAGCAATATGAAGACCCTAATCCTATCACAATTAGAAAGGAGGAATTAATGGAATATAGTAAGAAGTTTAAGAGATAAGAACAGAGAAACCTCTGAGAATTCAAATTTTGATTTTTGGAAATTCAGACAATACTGGTAAAATTCACGAAAATTGAAAAATTGAGACAGAAGCCTCACTCAGAGCAACAACAACAAAAAACACACACCCAGTTTAGGCTTGGATAAGTGGAATTTGGATCCAAGTGATAATGGTGCATAGTAAAATTCAAGACTGACGTAAACTTTCTCCAATTTAAATCACCCAAAATGAAATCCTGCATATTTGCTTCAGGGAAACTAGTACTTTAAATTTACCTGAGAATCATGTTACTTACGATGTGAGAATTATCATGGTGGTAGAAAATCTACTAACTTATCTCAATGTCTTGAGCATTAAAATTACTTTTAATTTGCATATCCAGAAATTCTGAGGTATATGTGTAGGATGTTCTTTAGGATTTTGTGGTTATTAGCAAGTAAAATGAATCCTGCAATAACTGTATAGATAACTTGATAAAAGTATATACATGTATAAGGGGAAAAGTCAAGTTATATAAATAATTTTGAGCTTAATTTTACAAAATCATTTCAATTATCAGAGATTCACATTCTGTTAGGTCTTATAAAGAAATCATTATATTTCAACAGTACAATATTTACTTCAGGTTTTTTGCCTTTAAGTTGTCCATAACTACAAGTAAAAGAAAAGAAAAGCCAGGGTCTTAGTTTTCTTTTTTAATTTTTTAGGTACCCCAGATTAAACTCAGGAGCACTTAACCATGA